CTAAACCTCAAAGCCTAAACCCTGAACCCTAAACCGTAAACCCTAAACCCCAAATCCTACACCCTAAACCCTAAACCCTAAACCCCTAAACCCCAAACCCTAAACCCCTAAACTCTTAAATCCCTAAAACCCTAAACCCTTTCTACCACATTTCATAGCTATCCCAAGGCTCGGGATCCGGACCGGTGACGGTCACACGGAGTTGTCCACCTAGGTGGGGCCCAAGAGGGTCCAAGTACCCAATATTTAGGTCCCCTTTAAAGGGGATATATAGGGTTTAGGGTTTAGGGTTTAAGGTTTGGGGTTCAGGGCTTAGGAATTTAGGGTTTAGGGTTTAGGGCTTAGGGTTTAAGGTTTAGGGTTTAAGGTTTGGGGTTCAGGGCTTAGGAATTTAGGGATCAAGGTTTAGTGTTCAGGGCTTAGGGTTTAGGGATTAAGGTTTAGGGTTTAGGGTTGAATTAAGGTTTAGGGCTTATAAGGTGTAGGGTTTCGGGTTTAATTAAGGTTTAAGGTGTATAATCTTTAGGGTTTAGGGTCTTGGGTTTAAGGTTTAGGGTATAAGGTCTAAGGTTTGGGCTTTCTCAGGATTGCTTAGATGGCCTCGATTCCGACGAAAATGTCAGTAAATATGGTCTCAGGGGATTATGTAGGGCTTATAATCAGAATTGCTGTCCATTTAGATTATTTCCGTCTTGTGAGTAGCTGATCCCTGGTGAAGTGTTTAGGCTTTATTGCTTAGGGAAATGGGAAACAATTTCTCTTACATCTTCCCTTCTAGAAACACAGGACCCCAATTTGTCAAAGGATCTCTAGATCAACACCCTAAACCCTAAACCCCAACCCTCATTGGGATTCTAGGGCTTCAAGGTTTGGAGTTTTGGAATTTCGGATTTTGGGAATCCTTACCTAGGGTCACCTTAGGGTTGAAAAGGTTTCGAGAGGTATTTAGAAGCTTCGTTTATAGGGGTTATATTGAGGTTATACACGGGGTATATTGGGATACTGGAAAAGACAATGGGAACTACTATAATTTAATTAATATGGCAATTTCCTGTATGCACATTCAAACTGCCAAATCTCAACTTACCCAGAGGATCCATACAGCCCCAATTCATGGGTGTTCGTGCTAGGGACCAGACCTACAGCTTACTCAGGCATTTAGCCTGCCAACATTCATATTCCATCTGCACCGTTTGGCAAGATGGTAGTTTCCCTGAATAGAGTGACCCCAATATAGACCCCCGAATACTATGACACTTATCATGCGGGCCCCAAAACAGGTACTCTTAACCATAACTTTGGGAAGCCCCCATTCAGGGTTCTTGAACTGGGTGCGAACTGGGTGCTTGGGGGCTTACGTGCTGGTAGAGATATCAATGGTGTTTTCAGTTGGGGGGGTGCAAGGTCTCGTCTGGTGGTGTCAGAAGTGGTGTCAGAACAAGTGGAGAGAATTCCAGGGTCCCCAACAGTCAAATCTTGGGATGACGATTGTTTAGGGTTAGGGTTTAGAGTTTAGGGGTTTAGGGTTTAGACTTTAGGGCATGAACTCAGGCTAAGCAGTGGCACACGGAGCGGGTCCCCATAATTCGTCACATGACTATACACATAAATCCCAGAACTAGACTTTATAGGCCTTATAACCATATATCTATACTCGCTCACCCCAAACCATGCATAGCGGTCCTTCCTAGGGTAGCAGCTTCAGCGTGCATAGTGTTCCTTGCAAACTATTTTTGACACATCTACTCGTTGCAAGACGTGGCAAGCAACCAGTGAGTTTGGAAAACCACCAGAATGAATCACCCAAAACCCTAAACCCGATTGAAGGATGCATTTCCTCCTAATACTCAGTACGCCGGCAGGACTGTCTCCTTAGAAAAGGCTCCTGGGCCTTCCCAATAACAAACCCTCGGAAACCCGGAAATGTCATACTTAGGGAAATTCCCCCTCCCAGTAACTGTCCTTACACGGGGCTTTCTTCAAAAGGTATTATAACTCCTAATGTCCAGTGTGGTAACTGTTACTGTAA